GTTTTGCTTCTGCAGGTACAGGGAAGCTTCAGCGTGTGCAAGGTACCATGAATTCTCTTCAGTACCAGGAGATATTGGATGGAAACGTGATGCAGTCCGTCACACACCTGAGGCTTGGGAGACGTTGGACCTTTCAACAGGACAATGATCCCAAGCATACCTCCAAGTCCACTAGAGCATGGTTGCAGAGGAAAGGCTGGAACATTTTGGAGTGGCCATCGCAGTCACCAGACTTAAATCCGATTGAGAACCTCTGGTGGGACTTAAAGAAAGCAGTTGCAGTGCGCAAGCCTAAGAATGTGACTGAACTGGAGGCCTTTGCCCATGAAGAATGGGCGAAGATACCCGTAGATCGCTGCAAGACACTTGTGTCAAGCTATGCTTCACGTTTAAAAGCTGTTATAACTGTAAAAGGATGCTGTACTAAGTACTAAGATTGAATGTCACTTGGGGGTTGAATAAAACTGATAATGCTGTGAGCACAGAAAAGACATTTGTGGTTATTTCATTATAACTGTTATGTTATATTTGTCTGACCTACAAGTGCCTCTTTAATGTAAATGTAAGCAAGATGACTGAATGATCAAAAGCAATGTCAAACTGGCCAAAACACTCAATTTCAGTGGGGGTTGAATAATTTTGGTCACAACTGTAGAAGGGTAGTCAAGCAACTCCCAGACAGAAAGGTACAAGTCTGGGGACAGAGCTGAGAGATTGGAGCTTCTCTGCCTTGGGCCGTGTCCAGGACTAGAACCAAAACATTCCACGGGGTGAGCTGCTTCCAGCCCCAATTTCTGAAGGTTCTGGATACCACCAAGTCTGAAGGTCAGGCTCCTCCTCTATGCCACGCCTGGACACACACTGAACCTAATGCCTGAAGGTTCCGGATACAACCAAGTCTGGAAGGTCAGGGCTCCTCTATGCCACGCCTGGACACACACTGAAACCTAATGCCTGAAGGTTCCGGATACAACCAAGTCTGGAAGGTCAGGGCTCCTCTATGCCACGCCTGGACACACACTGAACCTAATGCCTGAAGGTTCCGGATACAACCAAGTCTGGAAGGTCAGGGCTCCTCTATGCCACGCCTGGACACACGCTGAACCTAATGCCTGAAGGTTCCGGATATAACCAAGTCTGGAAGGTCAGGGCTGTGCTATGCCACGTCTGGACACACGCTGAACCTAATGCCTGAAGGTTCCGGATACAACCAAGTCTGGAAGGTGAGGGCTGCAGTATGCCATGCCTGGACACACACAACCTAATGCCTGAAGGTTCCGGATACAACCAAGTCTGGAAGGTCAGGGCTCCTCTATGCCACGTCTGGACACACACTGAACCTAACGCCTGAAGGTTCCGGATACAACCAAGTCTGGAAGGTCAGGGCTCCTCCATACCACGCCTGGACACACACTGAACCTAATGCCTGAAGGTTCCGGATACAACCAAGTCTGGAAGGTCAGGGCTCCTCCTCTATGCCACGTCTGGACACACGCGGAACCTAATGCCTGAAGATTCTGGATACAACCAAGTCTGGAAGGTCAGGGCTCCTCCTCTATGCCACGTCTGGACACACACTGAACCTAATGCCTGAAGATTCCGGATACAACCAAGTCTGGAAGGTCAGGGCTCCTCCTCTATGCCACGTCTGGACACACACTGAACCTAATGCCGAAGGTTCCGGATACAACCAAGTCTGGAAGGTGAGGGATCCTCCTCTATGCCACGTCTGGACACACGCTGAACCCAATGCCTGAAGATTCCGGATACAACCAAGTCTGGAAGGTCAGGGCTCCTCCTCTGTGCCACGTCTGGACACACGCTGAACCCAATGCCTGAAGGTTCCGGATACAACCAAGTCTGGAAGGTCAGGGCTCCTCCTCTATGCCACGTCTGGACACACGCTGAACCCAATGCCTGAAGGTTCCGGATACAACCAAGTCTGGAAGGTCAGGGCTGCACTATGCCACGTCTGGACACACACTGAACCCAATGCCTGAAGGTTCCGGATACAACCAAGTCTGGAAGGTCAGGGCTCCTCCATGCAACACCTGGACACACACTGAACCCAATGTCTGAAGGTTCCGGATACAACCAAGTCTGGAAGGTCAGGGCTCCTCCTCTATGCCACGTCTGGACACACGCTGAACCCAATGCCTGAAGGTTCCGGATACAACCAAGCCTGGAAGGTCAGGGCTGCACTATGCCACGTCTGGACACACGCTGAACCCAATGCATGAAGGTTCCGGATACAACCAAGTCTGGAAGGTCAGGGCTCCTCCATGCAACACCTGGACACACGCTGAACCCAATGCCTGAAGGTTCCGGATACAACCAAGTCTGGAAGGTCAGGGCTCCTCCATGCCACGTCTGGAAAACACACTGAACCCAATGCCTGAAGGTTCCGGATACAACCAAGTCTGGAAGGTCAGGGCTCCTCCATGCCACGTCTGGACACACACTGAACCCAATGCCTGAAGGTTCCGGATACAACCAAGTCTGGAAGGTCAGGGCTCCTCCATGCAACACCTGGACACACACTGAACCCAATGCCTGAAGGTTCCGGATACAACCAAGTCTGGAAGGTCAGGGCTCCTCCATGCAACACCTGGACACACACTGAACCCAATGCCTGAAGGTTCCGGATACAACCAAGTCTGGAAGGTCAGGGCTCCTCCTCTATGCCACGTCTGGACACACGCTGAACCCAATGCCTGAAGGTTCCGGATACAACCAAGTCTGGAAGGTCAGGGCTCCTCCATGCCACGTCTGGACACACACTGAACCTAATGCCTGAAGGTTCCGGATACAACCAAGTCTGGAAGGTCAGGGCTCCTCCTCTATGCCACGTCTGGACACACGCTGAACCCAATGCCTGAAGGTTCCGGATACAACCAAGTCTGGAAGGTCAGGGCTCCTCCATGCCACGTCTGGACACACGCGGAACCTAATGCCTGAAGATTCTGGATACAACCAAGTCTGGAAGGTCAGGGCTCCTCCTCTATGCCACGTCTGGACACACACTGAACCTAATGCCTGAAGATTCCGGATACAACCAAGTCTGGAAGGTCAGGGCTCCTCCTCTATGCCACGTCTGGACACACACTGAACCTAATGCCGAAGGTTCCGGATACAACCAAGTCTGGAAGGTGAGGGATCCTCCTCTATGCCACGTCTGGACACACGCTGAACCCAATGCCTGAAGATTCCGGATACAACCAAGTCTGGAAGGTCAGGGCTCCTCCTCTGTGCCACGTCTGGACACACGCTGAACCCAATGCCTGAAGGTTCCGGATACAACCAAGTCTGGAAGGTCAGGGCTCCTCCTCTATGCCACGTCTGGACACACGCTGAACCCAATGCCTGAAGGTTCCGGATACAACCAAGTCTGGAAGGTCAGGGCTGCACTATGCCACGTCTGGACACACACTGAACCCAATGCCTGAAGGTTCCGGATACAACCAAGTCTGGAAGGTCAGGGCTCCTCCATGCAACACCTGGACACACACTGAACCCAATGTCTGAAGGTTCCGGATACAACCAAGTCTGGAAGGTCAGGGCTCCTCCTCTATGCCACGTCTGGACACACGCTGAACCCAATGCCTGAAGGTTCCGGATACAACCAAGCCTGGAAGGTCAGGGCTGCACTATGCCACGTCTGGACACACGCTGAACCCAATGCATGAAGGTTCCGGATACAACCAAGTCTGGAAGGTCAGGGCTCCTCCATGCAACACCTGGACACACGCTGAACCCAATGCCTGAAGGTTCCGGATACAACCAAGTCTGGAAGGTCAGGGCTCCTCCATGCCACGTCTGGAAACACACTGAACCCAATGCCTGAAGGTTCCGGATACAACCAAGTCTGGAAGGTCAGGGCTCCTCCATGCCACGTCTGGACACACACTGAACCCAATGCCTGAAGGTTCCGGATACAACCAAGTCTGGAAGGTCAGGGCTCCTCCATGCAACACCTGGACACACACTGAACCCAATGCCTGAAGGTTCCGGATACAACCAAGTCTGGAAGGTCAGGGCTCCTCCATGCAACACCTGGACACACACTGAACCCAATGCCTGAAGGTTCCGGATACAACCAAGTCTGGAAGGTCAGGGCTCCTCCTCTATGCCACGTCTGGACACACGCTGAACCCAATGCCTGAAGGTTCCGGATACAACCAAGTCTGGAAGGTCAGGGCTCCTCCATGCCACGTCTGGACACACACTGAACCCAATGCCTGAAGGTTCCGGATACAACCAAGTCTGGAAGGTCAGGGCTCCTCCTCTATGCCACGTCTGGACACACGCTGAACCCAATGCCTGAAGGTTCCGGATACAACCAAGTCTGGAAGGTCAGGGCTCCTCCATGCCACGTCTGGACACACACTGAACCCAATGCCTGAAGGTTCCGGATACAACCAAGTCTGGAAGGTCAGGGCTCCTCTATGCCACGTCTGGACACACGCTGAACCCAATGCCTGAAGGTTCCGGATACAACCAAGTCTGGAAGGTCAGGGCTCCTCCATGCCACGTCTGGACACACACTGAACCCAATGCCTGAAGGTTCCGGATACAACCAAGTCTGGAAGGTCAGGGCTCCTCCATGCCACGTCTGGACACACACTGAACCCAATGCCTGAAGGTCACATCCAGGATACTCCCAACCCAGAGGGACCAGATATGGCTCTCCATAGGCAGGCAGAGGACGGCAGACGCAGATGTCAAGCAGAGACGTGGACTGAAGGAAAAGCTTTTCTCAGCAGAGACAAGACATCTCTCCTCCTAGGACAGCAGCAAAGCCTGGGGCATGCTGGGAGGAGGCGGGATTAATGTGGGCCGGCCTACACTGTCTGGCCGATCCTCCCATAGGTGGAGGTATAACCTGACAGTGTGGGACTTCCTGAGCTCCTCATTGGACGGGACAGAATGAAGGGAAGGTGAGAAGAGCTGAAGGTTCTAGGAAGATGGAGGACTGAGGACAGAAGCATGGTGGGACCTACCGTCCTGGAAGACGCGCTCCACGTTCAGGCCGTACGTAGCGCACGTCTCGTAGTAGGTGCAGCGCTTCAGGTCATTGGACAGTTTCCGGGCGCGGGCGTCATCAATCACTCGCGGGTTGGTTGCACTGATGGCATCTGGGAAGGTCAGCAGATAAAACGTCAGTAAGCAGGAGGACGACTGTCAGTGACAGGAGGAGGGCTGTCAGTGACCAGGAGGAGGGCTGTCAGTGACCAGGAGGAGGGCTGTCAGTGACCAGGAGGAGGGCTGTCAGTGACCAGGAGGAGGGCTGTCAGTGACCAGGAGGAGGGCTGTCAGTGACCAGGAGGAGGGCTGTCAGTGACCAGGAGGAGGACTGTCAGTAACCAGAGGAGGAGGACTGTCAGTAACCAGGAGGAGGACTGTCGGTAACCAGGAGGAGGACTGTCGGTAACCAGGAGGAGGACTGTCGGTAACCAGGAGGAGGACTGTCGGTGACCAGGAGCAGGACTGTCGGTGACCAGGAGCAGGACTGTCGGTGACCAGGAGCAGGACTGTCGGTAACCAGGAGGAGGACTGTCGGTAACCAGGAGGAGGACTGTCGGTAACCAGGAGGAGGACTGTCGGTAACCAGGAGGAGGACTGTCGGTAACCAGGAGGAGGACTGTCGGTAACCAGGAGGAGGACTGTCGGTAACCAGGAGAAGGACTGTCGGTAACCAGGAGGAGGACTGTCGGTGACCAGGAGGAGGACTGTCGGTGACCAGGAGGAGGACTGTCGGTGACCAGGAGGAGGACTGTCGGTGACCAGGAGGAGGACTGTCGGTGACCAGGAGGAGGACTGTCGGTGACCAGGAGGAGGACTGTCGGTGACCAGGAGGAGGACTGTCGGTGACCAGGAGAAGGACTGTCGGTAACCAGGAGAAGGACTGTCGGTAACCAGGAGAAGGACTGTCGGTGACCAGGAGGAGGACTGTCGGTGACCAGGAGGAGGACTGTCGGTGACCAGGAGGAGGACTGTCGGTGACCAGGAGGAGGACTGTCGGTGACCAGGAGGAGGACTGTCGGTGACCAGGAGGAGGACTGTCGGTGACCAGGAGGAGGACTGTCGGTAACCAGGAGAAGGACTGTCGGTAACCAGGAGAAGGACTGTCGGTAACCAGGAGAAGGACTGTCGGTAACCAGGAGAAGGACTGTCGGTAACCAGGAGGAGGACTGTCGGTGACCAGGAGGAGGACTGTCAGTGACCAGGAGGAGGACTGTCGGTAACCAGGAGGAGGACTGTCGGTAACCAGGAGGAGGACTGTCGGTAACCAGGAGGAGGACTGTCGGTAACCAGGAGGAGGACTGTCGGTAACCAGGAGGAGGACTGTCGGTAACCAGGAGAAGGACTGTTCACCTCAATCACCCACACAACAATCACCCCCATCATCACCCCCATCATCACACACCCAATCACCCCCATCATCACACATCACCCCCATCATCACACAGCAATCACCCCCAACAATCACCCCCCATCATCACACAACACAGCAATCACCCCCCCATCATCACACAGCAATCACCCCATCATCATCAACACATCACCCCCCATCATCACACATCACCCCCCCATCACCACATCACCCCCATCATCCCCCCATCATCACACACAATCACCCCCATCATCACACAACCCACCCCCATCACCCACACACATCACCCCCACATCATTTCCCCCACAACATCACCCCCATCATCACACCCCATCATCATCATCACACCATCCCCCCCCCCCCCCACCCCAATCACCCCCATCCCACACATCCCCCCACCCATCACACACCCAATCACCCCCCCACATCATCACCAGCAATCACCCCCCCCATCATCACCCATCACCCCCATCATCACACACAACCCCAATCACTTCCATCATCACACATCACCCCCATCATCACACACATCACCCCCATCATCTTTCCCCAGCAATCACCCCATCATCACACAACCAATCACCCCCATCATCACACCAACATCCCCCCCATCATCACACCCATCCCCCCATCATCACCCATCCCCCAACCCCCCCCATCATCCCCACACCCCCATCATTAACACAGCAATCACCCCCCCATCATCACACACATCCCCCCCCATCATCACACACATCACCCCCATCATCACACAGCCCCCCCCCCATCATCACACATCACCCCCATCATTAACCCACCCCCATCACACACACAATCACCCCCCATCATCATCACAACATCCCCCCATCATCACAACAATCACCCCCATCATCACACAACAATCACCCCCATCATCACACACATCACCCCCATCATCACACATCACCCCCATCATCACCCAACATCACCCCCATCATCACACCACAATCACCACCCCCATCATCACACACCCAATCACCCCCATCCCACACCACAACACCCCCATCATCACACAACAATCCCCCCCATCATCACACATCACCCCCCAATCATCACACATCCCACCCCCATCATCACACAATCCCCCCCATCATCACACATCCCCATCATCATCACACCCCATCACCCCATCATCACACAAAACCATCACCCCCATCATCCACATCACCCCCCCCCATCACACACCAATCACCCCCCCATCACATCACACACCCCCATCATCCACACACATCAAGCACCCCCCATCCTCATCATCACCCCCCCATACTCCCCACCAATCACACCCCCCCATCACCCCCATCATCACACACAATCCCCCCATCATCCACACACAATCACCCCCATCATCACACACAGCAATCACCTCCATCATCACACATCACCCCCCATCACACATCACCCCCATCATTTCACACACAGCAATCACCCCCATCATCACACACAGCAATCACCCCCATCATCACACACAGCAATCACCCCCATCATCACACATCACACCCCCATCATCCACACAGCAATCACCCCCCATCATCACACACAGCAATCACCCCCATCATCACACATCATCACCCCCATCACACACATCACCTCCATCATCACACACCCAAATCACCCCATCATCATCACACACACATCACCCCCATCATCACACACAGCAATCACCCCCATCATCACACACAGCAATCACCCCCATCATCACACACAGCAATCACCCCCATCATCACACAGCAATCACCCCCATCACACACACAGCAATCACCCCCACACCATGGGGCCCTGAATGATCACAGTAACTTGAGTCCCTACGAGCACCACCATGGGGGCCCTGAATGATCACAGTACCTTGAGTCCCTACGAGCCCCATGGGGGCCCTGAATGATCACAGTACCTTGAGTCCCTACATACACCATGGGGGCCCTGAATGATCACAGTACCTTGAGTCCCTACGAGCACCATGGGGGCCCTGAATGATCACAGTACCTTGTGTCCCTACATACACCATGGGGGCCCTGAATGATCACAGTACCTTGAGTCCCTACATACACCATGGGGGCCCTGAATGATCACAGTACCTTGAGTCCCTACGAGCACCATGGGGGCCCTGAATGATCACAGTACCTTGAGTCCCTACGAGCACCATGGGGGCCCTGAATGATCACAGTACCTTGAGTCCCTACGAGCACCATGGGGGCCCAGAATGATCACAGTACCTTGAGTCCCTACGAGCACCATGGGGGCCCAGAATGATCACAGTACCTTGAGTCCCTACGAGCACCATGGGGACATCGGCTGTGTTGCGACAACTGGACAGACGGGCGTAATAATTAAACACTGTCTGGAAACTGATCTCATCCTCCAGGCTGAAGACAAACACGACGGCATCAACCCACGCAGCAAACTGAGGGAGAGAAGGAGAGATCGGTGAGAGGAGATCGGTGAGGGGAGACCGGGGAGGGGAGATCGGTGAGAGGAGACCGGGGAGGGGAGACCGGGGGGGGGGAGATCGGTGAGAGGAGACCGGGGAGGGGAGACCGGGGAGGGGAGACCGGGGAGGGGAGACCGGGGGGGGAGACCTGGGAGGGGAGGGGAGACCGGTGAGGGGAGGACCGGTGAGGGGAGACCGGTGAGGGGGAGACCGGGGAGGGGAGACCGGGGAGGGGAGACCGGGGAGGGGAGACCGGTGAGAGGAGATCGGTGAGAGGAGATCGGTGAGGGGAGACCGGTGAGGGGAGACCGGTGAGGGGAGATCGGTGAGGGGAGACCGGTGAGGGGGAGACCGGTGAGGGGAGATCGGGGAGGGGGGACCGGGGAGGGGAGACCGGAGAGGGGAGACCCGGTGAGGGGAGACCGGTGAGGGGAGACCGGTGAGGGGAGACCGGTGAGGGGGAGATCGGTGAGGGGAGATCGGGGAGGGGAGATCGGGGAGGGGAGACCGGGGAGACCGGTGACCGGGGAGACCGGTGAGGGGAGACCGGTGAGGGGAGACCGGTGAGGGGAGACCGGGGAGGGGGAGACCGGGGAGGGGAGACCGGTGAGGGGAGATCGGTGAGGGGAGACCGGTGAGGGGAGATCGGTGAGGGGAGATCGGTGAGGGGGGGAGACCGGTGAGGGGAGACCGGTGAGGGGAGACCGGGGAGGGGAGGGAGACCGGGGAGGGGAGACCGGGGAGGGGAGACCGGGGAGGGGAGACCGGGGGGGAGGGGAGACCGGTGAGGGGAGACCGGTGAGAGGAGATCGGTGAGGGGAGACCGGTGAGGGGAGATCGGTGAGGGGAGATCGGGGAGGGGAGATCGGGAGGGGGAGACCGGGGAGGGGGAGGGGACCGGGGGAGGGGAGGGGAGACCGGGGAGGGGAGACCGGGGAGGGGAGACCGGGGAGGGGAGACCGGGGAGGGGAGACCGGGGGGGGGAGACCGGGGAGGGGACAGCGGGAAGGAGAGTCCGGCACAACACATCAAAAGAACAACGAAGAGGAACCGACATACCTGCATCTCCGGGGGCCCGCCCTCATCTCTGATCAGAAGAAGGTAGCTCTGTCCGTCCACCACAATCTCCTTCTTAAACCGACCGCCTATTGGGGACAAGGAAATGAAGGAAGATCAAACTATGTACAGAGGGAGGAACGTAGACATGAAGATAGGACTACATACAGAGGGAGGAACGTAGACATG